CCCACCCACACCCACACCCATACCCACACCCACACCCACACCCACATTTACACCCACACCCACATTCATACCCACATCCACACCCACACCCACACCCATCCCACACCCACATTCATACCCACATCCACACCCACACCCACACCCATCCCACACCCACACCCTCAGATAATCAAGATCCACTGTGATAAATAAATATTAAGAGAATCGACTGCAAATCTGTTGTTTTTATTCAAAGGCCTATAATATTTCATCAATTATTTTTATTTAGTTTGATTACCTACTTTAGGCAAAGTACATTCGTGGCGTTTTTTTCTGAGTAACTCATAATGACTGGTTACAAAACGTCGAGTAAATTTAATTAACTCGTTCCAATTTTCATCATTTATTAATCTGTCTATATGTTGTTGAATATAAAATTCATCTAGTGCATACATTTCATCGGGTTCAATGTAATGAAAATTATTTGGTTCAGATTCGTTATGAAATTTTGGACGTTTATTTGCAGTTAATGTAAATTCTGGTGGATGTGCCCAAAAGCCAAGTTTTTTTGTTACTTGAACACCTAATTGAGTAGCAAGACAAGTAAGTGCAACATCGGATGCTACAGATCTCCGTGACCAAACCTTTTCAACATAATTTGTTAGATGTGGTTGCATCATTTCAAGTAATTTCATACTAAAAAAGAATCCAGCACCACCTGATGGAAATTCAACAGGAAATGTTCGATTATTTTTTCCTGGACATGTATGTTCACCTGTATGACCACCTAATAGAATAGGTTTTCTATAATCGACCCCATCAAGACGTTTGAGTAAATGATGAGGAATAATAAATGTATCACAACCGGCTATATAAAACCATTTTTGTCGTTGATTTATAGAAAGATTCATTTGTTGTTGATAAATTATTTGAAGACCATAAAAAAGTTTTTTCATATTTGATGATTTATCTTCACCAGCACCGGGAATAACAGTTACAGGTAAATAAGGATAAGGAGTTGCACTAAGAAAATAATAATTTGTTACACGTGAAAGCCATGTATCACGTGTTGCTGTGGCTCGTGTATGAAAAAATTTAGATGATGTAAAAATAACAAATGCAATCTCATCTTCAGTATATGTTTGCGCATTGAACCATGTACGTCGTGGAATAGGTACTATATTACAATATTTTTCTAAAGAAATTTTTCGATATATATCAAATGAATCATTTGATGATGTTGTTGATGAAACTGGAAATCGCTTAATATTTGTATTATTACAGATAAAACTTTCAAATGACTTATGATGAACGATTGTAGTGATATGCATTTGATTAGTTAGATTTCGGTCGGCTAACTTGAATTTAGATAAAATTTGAATAAGTTGAGTTTTAGTGTTAGATGATATATCAATGCAAAAATTGATTATGAATGAAACAGTGATCAAAATAAGGAAACAAATTATTAAGAAAAAGTGTTTTTTCCATAATGATCTATGGTTAGAAATAGAAACCATTATTTAATAAGATATAAGAGAATAATCTGAAAAAATAAATTAGCTAAATTTGCAGATGATTATTAAAAATGCAAAACCTATAAAAACATGTTTTGCTATGATTGGCATAGAATGAAGTAGTTTTTACCATGACTTCGAAAAATGCATATCAAATTACATGAGCTCGAGTAGGTTTCCATTTGAAATTACCTACGAAAAGACTATTTCAGCTTGGGTTGAGGACTTGAAATATTGTTGCATAACGGTATCTCCTATGAATATATGGTGCCCATAGGTGGCGGTACGTTTTGATCTAGGGGTGAATAGCGGAATTCTGACGCCCACGATTTCTCCTACGTTTCTAGAATTCCCTCAGATTGCATTGAACTTCATAGGATTCGTTTCGATTCCATAGAACTTCTCAGGACTCTCAGTAAATTCTCAAGATCCTATTAGGAGACGCCATCTACGTCACAACAGCTTTTCATGCTAGTACCTCTTTTTCTTTGTTTGGTGGGAGTGTAGATGAACTGAAGGCTCACACGCGCACCTACACTATTTCTTGAAATCAATGAATTCTTGATTTAATGAAACGAGATAAAAAACGTTCTTTGTCTTAAGATGAATATTTTAATAAGACTATTATAACAACTGATAAAAAACTACAGTAATGTTCTGTTCTCCCTATCTTATGAACTATTGAATTATGTTGTTATTTCTATTATTATAATCACTTTCTCTAATAAAATGTTGTATTTTATTTTCTTCATGAAATACTGCTGAATAAAATGTATCGATGAAACAAAATAAAAACTTGTATCGACGAAAATGGATTTAAAAAAAATTGAGGAAGCAGGAAACTTAATTCATTAGTCTTAATTTTTTCAATGGAACGAGACCAAACCGTGTTTTCATCGACAATCGTACCCTACACTGTCACACATCACACTCACACCCTTTTACTCATTCAAAATATATTCCCTCGACTGAAGGGAGGGTCATATCAAAAATAAATAGCTTGTTTGTTTGCTTGCTTGCTTGCTTGTCGCGAGGTCAAAAAAACATCAGGGTTAAAAAACAGCCACATTTTATTTTTGATAGATGTTCACGAAAGCAAATCGAGGACGGAGCACCGAATCTGAAGTCAGTTTCTCAAGATTTTGAATTGGGTTTTTCGGGTCAGGAGAAGGGTTTTTTGAGAAAATAATGAAATTTTATAAAGGTTGACGAAAGTAAGTCAGGGTCGGGGAATCCGAATCTGAAGTCAGTTTCTCAACATTTTGAATTGAGTTTTGAGGGTCAAGGGAGGGGTTTTCAAGAAAATGACGAAATTTCATAAAGGTTGACGAAAATAAGTCAGGGTCGGGGAATCCGAATCTGAAGTCAGTTTCTCAAATTTTGACATGTGTTTTTGGGGTCAAGGGAAGGGTTTTTTGAGAAAATAACGAAATTTCATAAAGGTTGACGAAAGTAAATCGAGATCGGAGAATCGGAATCTGAAGCCAGTCTTTCAACATTTTGAATTGAGTTTTGAGGGCCAAGGGAGGGGTTTTCAAGAAAATGACGATGTATTATAAAGGCTTACGAAAGGAAATCGAGGTCAGAAAATACAAATATGAAATCTGTTTCTCGAAAACTCGAATAATTATTGGTATGAAGAAATGGTATTTCTCTCTCTGAATTATTGTCTAGCGCTAAGATGGAACAGGTAACCGGTCGACATGGAAAAGTCAATGGACCGGTCAACGCTATCTAGCGGTCGGTCGCAA